GATGCATATGTATATGATGAACGAACGAATGAATGAATGAATGAATGAATAATTAAATGAATGAATGAATGAATGAATGAATGAATGAATGAATGTATGAATGAATAAATAAATAAATAAATAAGATAGAGAGGGAGAGAGAAAGAAAGTGAGAGATTGATTTACGAATAGGTAATTAACTAATTGCAAACTTCTTCTATTTTCTATGTACAGGGAAAACGCGTCTGGGTGAGTGTCACTTAGCAACCGACACGATGCTGCGACCGGCTGCCATGGCAACCGCTGCTCTCGTGCTACTCGCCATGGCAGTGCTGCCCCTGGCGGAAACCGTGGGAACTACTCAAGCCGATAACTCCTTCCCCTCCTCTTCTTTCTCTTCCGTGTTATTTAAGGAGTCATCCTCCTTCCCTGCAAACCTTACTGATTACGTCATCTCCACGCCGGCGGCGGCGGGAGAGGGAGCCTCCAACAACGACGCGAAGCGAAGACAGCAGATATTCGAGGGCATCTTCTACCCTGTGATGGCAGCCGCCACGTTCATCGGCAACGTCATCAACATACTCGTCTTTACCCTGGGTCGCATGCCCTCATCGGCTCTCAACGTCCTTCTTCTCGGCCTCTCCGTTGCCGAGTGCACGAGCGGTGCCGCCTTCTTCGTCTTCTTCTCGACGAATGCGTTCTGCGACACCTGCAATCGAACGGCGACGCACGTGCTCGAGAAAGTCGCCGATCTGTTCTTCTACACGGCCAACTGGATCACGATGTGTCTCTCCGTATTCCGCTTCGTTTCCGTGTCCTACCCGCTGCGCTACCGCACGCTGTGCACGCGCCACAAGGCGCGCATCGCTCTCGCCGTTAGCCTCGCTGTTAACATCGCCAAGGAGTTCGTCTACTGGGTGCACCACTTCAAGACCGACGAAGAGCTGCGAATCGTCGAGCCGATAAACCAGACGATCGGGAGGATCGTACCATGTGTGGTCGTGCTCGTCACGACGCTGCTGTCGATCGTCAAAGTGGGCGCGATGACCAGGGAAAGCAGCAGTAGCGGTGGCGGCGCCACTAGTTGCCACATCGGCGCCGCGGCGGCGTCGCAGCGCAGCTCGTACGAGACGAAGGTGATACGGATGCTGCTGGTGCTGCTCGTACTGTTCTTTGTGACGAACGCATACTGCGTCATGACGCTGCTCTGCCGCATCTACGATGTACCGGGAAATCAGCACTTCCTCTATTCGGAGGCAATCGCCATCGGCGTCAATTCTTCGATGAACGTCGTCGTCTACTTCTGGCTGAATCCGTGCTACCGGCACGCTTTCTACCGGGTGTTTAAGTGTCCGTGTCGGCACGCGGGCCGGAAGGGAGGAGTCGAACATAGTCACAGTGCGAATGAAACCGGCACGGCAGTCACAATGGATGCGACCACCGTCATGAAGGATAGCTCGCTGTAACGAAACAGAAGGAAGAAAGGGAAACACACAGAGAGAAATAGATATAGGGCTAGTAAGAGATAGAGAGAAGAAGAGATAGGTAGTAAGAGATAGAGATATGGGGATAGTAATAGAGATCGTGAGAAGAGATACAGAGCGCGCGAAAGCGCGCGAGAGAGAGAGGGGGAGGAGAACGATAGAGAGAAGAGAGAAAAAGAGAGAAAGAGAAAGAGAGAGAGAGAGAGAGAGAGAGTGAGAGAAAAAGAGAGTCTAGCCAGCGTGAAAGCGGTTCGATGTGTCTTAGCCATATATATACAGGGAATCGATATACGCCAATATTTCTTTTGTTCAGATGCGATCTAAAATGTCGTTGCAGTGCTGCCCGCGCAACGATACCAATTCTGG